TGTACAGCCAAATGTAACGTCACGACACTCAATCTCAGGGCAGTTTCTATTCTATAACATATTCTTCTTAAACATAAATTAAGAGCTATTTATTTGGTCATGAAGTGCTAAAATCGCTTGCAACTGCTACACAAATGAGAAATATCAACAAAAAAAATATGTAATTTCTCATCTAGTCTTTAGATAAACTTAATATATCGGTTAGTTCGGATCAAAATCAGAGGAACACTGCTCACAAATGTTTAACATTGGACATAGCATAACCGGCGCTAAGTGTACATACATAAGTGTTATTATTACACGACGCAAGCGCGCTGTATTATACTGTTAAATGTATTTTTTATGTGAAATATAACAAATGTACATTTTGATTACAATTGTTTTATTAGATTACCTGTTCATTTTTTTATTGCCTTGCCAGTACAAATGGCAACACCAAGTCTAGTACAATTGAGTTGAAGTTAGCTACGAGTGTCGGAAGCAAAGGTCAGTGGGGCTTGCGTATTAGTAGAGTACATCACGAAATTAGTTGCAAGTAGTTTTTTATTTATTTATTGCTATATATTACTTATATGGCTTGTCTGTGTTGTGTTACTAATATTTTGAAGTTTAACTGTCCTAGTTAAGTTACCCTAACGTCACTAATTGTGCATGAATCTGACGAGAGCCGGCAACGTCGCAATTATTTTTTTTTATGTTGGGTTTATATGTTTTTTTTGTGATATGGTCTTTAGTGTTTAATATATTAGAAATGTATGTTTTTGTTTATGTTATATTTGTGGTTTTACGTCAGGGTTTTATATTTATTAATTTAACTTATAATTTATTAAGTAACTCTAAATATGTTATTCTGAATTTTTAATAGTAATGGTAATATAATAATGTATGTAACACGTTAATTCTGCAGTGGCCAATTAACGTAAGAAAGAGAAGGTTGGTAAATACAGACTTCTCTTTCTTACTCAACTAAAATGTTTTTTTAATGTTATTGCTTCATCATCTTCTCTTTAACGTAACCGGCCTCACAGACAACCGGTGATATATCTTTCATCGCTTTTCATGTGCCCCCCCCCCCCCCTCTTAATCCTGGGAGGAGGGGAAGATAATCAAAGGGCGGCAACTTATCTTGAGTTGCAGTGTTCATGATGGGCGATAGTCTTTTACCATGAGGTAACTCGTCTAGTCGTTAACCCATAGAAACCCAACGAAGAAATACAGTAGTAAGAATATAAAGACAAAAACTACTTTCACACTTCACCTGTTGGCTTCATTTATCAAACCATCGTTTTTAAATTAAATCTTTTGTTGAACAAACTAAATTACATCAGTTACTTTTTTTTTTCCGTCGTGCGGAAATCCCCTCGGATACCCCCTATCGGTGGCATGTCGGACTCGAACCGACTAAAATCGCACACCGTCTCGGGTACTAATAGCCGGGGAACCAGGTATACCCTCGAAAGGAAGTTCCTGGTGCCCCGACATACCTCGGGCCATCTACAGACGAGTAGACGACCCCCCCGTTACATCAGTTACCTACCTAAGTTTTTAACCTTGAAGAGCCATGCTCCACAAATGTGGCTGGACCGGAGTGAACCAAATTTGTATTTTTAACCAAACTACATATACTATAAAGTTTGATTTAGCTTCAACAGTTAGAAGTAGGTGATAAGGGTTTCTGAGATTTGTTTTCATAATTAGTTACATATTTAAGTATACATTGCTAAAAGAAAATGTGTTGAAAACTTTAATAGTAAACAGTATATAAAATATCCGCCAGTTTCATTGATCCAGCCGATCCGCTCGGTCGCAAGAATTACGACGGCGGTAATGGTTTGTGTGTAAAATGGATTATTTTTCTATAGTTACAAGAAATTACACATGACATACACTTCTTTTGTCCCCAAAGGGCGTATTAAATTCCCACACTTTGCCGATTTTAATAGGGAATATGCATGTATTTTTTTTATTTTTTTTTAACGATTCTACTAGTTATTACATTACCAAAAATAAATATAACACATCCGAAATATAAACTCTTAAGCAAAAAAAAATTTATTAAAATCACTATCATTTTGGGGCAATTTGAACACGTCCATATTGGCGCGTTTTTTTTGTGACTTCAGATTACACTTTTAAGTTAAAAAAGTGAGTGATAAAAATTAACTTATTACCATGGAAAGCCAATATAAACTTATTATAAATATTGTGCCGTTCCTTTGTGCCCAAATAATATCAAAACTGCACCTGACAAAGTATATTCAGTCATTGTGTTGAGTCTTTCTACACGGGAATTTAATAATTTAACACTGAAAACGTATTAGTTATTAACTTAAAATGAAACAAATAATCACCAGAAACCAAATATTACAAATACACACAACTTGTTGACACTGACACTCTTGACAGTGCAGGTTGACGTCACGTTTTATTCAACCAATAGCGTTGCGTTTTAGAAATTTGCGAGGGAATCTTAAAAAAGCCAATTTTTGATGATTAAATTTCACTATTAAATTATAATAAATTTCAAAAATAATTGTATGGGTATCTTTTTTTAGCAATAAAAATTACAAATAAAAATATTTTGTCCATTTTGGTGTCACGTGCATATTCCCTATTTTAGTAACAGCCGGCAAGCGTATTGCTGTCAATACATCCAGACGATAATTGATGATATTCATTACGCCTATTTGTTCTGGGTGGGAATCGAACGCAAGAATTCTGGCGCAGGAGTCAGGATCGCTAACCATTAGACTAACAGAGGGCCAAGTGCGAGTTTATTTCACTTCTACTCGATCGTCACGGTGACCGCGTTCGGCGCTACGATTGGCCCGCGCTGAAATCTCCACCAATCACAACGCTAAACGCGGTCGCCGTCGACATCGAGTCGATGTGAAATAAACTTGCACTAGGCCCTCAGGTCTAAGCGGGCCGGCGCTAGGAGGGGTCCGGATGTCTTAATAACAGCTGTTCCCGGATCCCTCCTATTACAGGCGCAGAGTGGCACACCGTGTGGTTTTAGTCGGTCCGAGTCCGACACACCACCCGCCGCAAACCCCGGTGGGGTGACGGTCCGAGGGGATTTATTTCCACACGTTAAAAAAATAATAATAAATCAAATGAGTGTCGTATAAAGTGTAAAAAGGTTTTGTCAAATTTTAAAAGAATTATGTCTAACTGATAGCTTTTAGCTTGAATTTTTTTTATCTATTTATTTATTTATTCTTTATTGTACACACTGAACACACACATATAAGTAACAAGGAAATGTCATGTACAAAGGCGAGCTTAACCCAAAACTGAGTTTTCTTCCAGCAAATCTTGTTGTGTTTTAACATTTATTTTTTATCCTTTTTCTGTCAGCGTAGGTTCTTAATTTCTAACAACAAAATTATGATTTTTGTGTTATTTTAATTTTTAACACGCTTTTATTAGCTTGGTATGTATGTAGGTAGGTAACGGAATCTTCGAACATGATTTTGACCCACTTCAAAACGTCGAATTAAAATGTAACTTCGCACACTTATTAGGACCGATGACGAAACAATATTTGATAAATTTGGCCGATTATCCTGATCAGAATCTTCAGGATGAACGGCTTTTTTCATACCTAAAAACGGTGGTGTATTTTGCTACGTACCAAGAGGCGTGTACTAAAGTACTAATATGATACTTACTTACTTGTTACTTTTCTTCTTAACTTAGTCTTTCCAATGAGAATATAATCATCATTAATGACTAAAAAAAGCAAAAATAAAAGTAGAAAATATTTTTCTATAAATTCTAAAAGAAAAATTATAATATCGTAAAAAGCATGGGGTGCTTTTCAATATATAAATAGATATATTTTTTATGGTATAATGGGGCAAACAAGCAGACGGGTCACCTGATGGTAAGCAACTACCGCCGCCCATGGACACCTGCAACTCAAAAGTTACAAGTGCGTTGCTGCCTTTAGAGACCCTCCCGTTCGAGTCATCGGAGGGGGATTTGAGCTCCGGGAACCTCACTCTTTCAGTGAAAGGCATTACTTAACACCGGTTTTCTGTCAGGCCCTGGTATCACTCGGTCGAGCCGGCCCATTCGTGCATAAGCATGACTCTAATACAATAACTTTAACCTATATCTGTCACTAGCTGACCCGCGCAACTTCGTCTGCGTCTCTCAATAGTAATAAATTTTCTCCGTTTTTTAAACATTCTTCATTGGTGCTCCGCTCCTATTGGACTTAGCGTGATGATATATAGCCTATAGCCTTCCTCGATAAATGGGCTATCTAACACTGAAAGAATTTTTCAAATCGGACCAGTAGTTCCTGAGATTAGCGCGTTCAAACAAACAAACAAACAAACTCTTCAGCTTTATAATATTAGTATAGATTAAAATATTTTCACTTTACCCATTTTTACGATTAAATGATATTTCTTTTTGAACATTAAATTATTTTCTACTTTTAGTTCGCGTAGTTACAAAAGTGTGTTTTTTAAACTATATTTTTTTCTTGATATGATTTTCCTTGCCGGTTGCCTGCTATTTGTAGAAATGTTTACAGAAAAGGGTCGGAAGTGTGTTAGTGGAAACTATTGCGCGCGCTTTATATGATTTGACAGCTATTGTTGGGCGTCAGAAGGTAGTTTAGATGTCAGATGTTGGCGCGCTTGTTCTTTTAAAGAGACGCATTTTAAATATATAATTAAGTTCTATCATCTTCCTTGGTAGTTAATAACTAGTTCAGCTAAGTGAGGTTACCGGAGTTCAACCCCTCCGACCCTCTGTTCGACAAAGGCGCTTTATTTGTCTCTTGAGTTGCGTGTAGACGGCGGTAGTTACTTACCATCAGGCGACTTACATACTGTCAGGGCCGAAGTAGGACGAGAAAGGGGGCGCACCTCTCCCGATCCCCTTTATAAGAATACATTATGTATATAGCAGATGTGCTATTGATATATAATGTAACTCTGTTAATGTGAAGTTTAGTAGTCAATTATGTTTTTTTTTTACAGTGGCCAGTGACAGCGAGAAGTCGGATTTAGAAGATGTAAAACCTCTTCTTAGTAATGAAAGATGAACTCGATTTATTTGTATTGTTAATGTTGCCAGTTGTATGATGCTACTAATTAAATAGACGAACAATGTCTTCAACGTCTGTTTGATTAATATTAAATTAAAGGTACATTTTGGTGTAATTTAAATAAGTGTTTTATTTTGTACATATGTTACACATAACATATTTCATAAATTACGTTACACGTTATAAGGGGGAAGGGGAAGGACGTCAAAGAGTGACAAGATTAATGACTGTACGGGCCGCGTAGTAGTTTAAATGTTGTGGGTACAATCTCACATTGACAAAATTGAGTATGATATCTTGATTCCTCTATTTTTTCCCTGGAATATCACCCACCGACCAAAAACCGCACGCTGTCTCGGGTACCAGTAGCCGGGGAACCCTAAAAAGGACATCCTTGGTACCCCGACGTACTTCGTCGACCCCGTCCTGTGTGTTGTGTTGTTCCCTTTTTGCTCACGCGCGTCTCGCCGCCATTTCGGCTTGCTTCTGCTAGGGTGACAGATGGCCTCACCTGTCACCCCTAGGCCTGCGCTTATGGAGACCGGAGGTCATTCTGCGACCTCCGGCGCCCGAGTCGTCTGCCGTACCTGGCCCGTTCCCGGGCCTGGCGGGCCGGGAGAGTTCTAAACCTCTCCCGGTCCCGCTCCGCCATCTCCTTCGCAAGCATAACTTGCTCGCAGAATGAGACGACGGAGTCTCGGAGACTCGCTCCGTACCATGGCGGCAATCATACTACCGAGCGAGATAGAGATGGAGATATCTTGATTCCTATTCCTACGTATTAAAAAAATTACAAATAGATTTTAGATATTAAGTTATACCTAAACATTAAATTATTCAACGTATTACGGAGTAATTAATCTTAAAAACTATTTAGAAATAAGGTTAACTGAACTAAATTAAATATTACATATCAAAGTATCCAGAAGCTAATTACCGCTTACTACTTAGTTGCAGTCTTAAATTTGAGCAACAAAGACCGTAGGCAGCGATCTAGTTTCTTGGTTTTGAAGAATATTTTCCAGAGTCCAGGTATAACGGCAAAATATTCGATATTAGTTCTATCAACTGGTAATAAAAATTGTTTATAAATGCCCTTGATAAATTTGAAACTACCCTAATTTGACTTTCAAGATAAACAAAGGAAAACAATTTTATACTCAGTTTCCAGCCTCGGCGGCATAATTATTTGATTTAGCTGTAAGTTTTATTATTTAGAATTTCTTGGAAATATTAATTTGGCCGTGGTTTTGCATTTCGTATCTTTCCAATCGCCTCCATTTGCAGTTCTAATTGACTTTGAGAGCAAAAGTTCAAATGACTACTATTTCCAAAAATTTAACTTTTTTTTATGTTAAAGGGGGCACGAGCAGACGGGTCACCTGATGGAAAGTGACTATCGCCGCCCATGAACGTCTGCAACTCAGGAGTCACAAACGCGTTGCCGGCGTTTTAGGACGGAGTACGCGCTTTTCTTGAAGGTTTGATGGTCGTATCGGTCCGGAAATACCGCAGACGATAACCCGTTCCACAGATTGGTTGTGCGGGGCAAAAAGCGCACAGTAGTGGAGCGCCAACTATCCAAAATCCAAAATTTTGCCGTGTGGAACGATGGCGGAAATTTGCGGCTGGTAGTAGTCCGAACAATTCCTTGGAGCACTCTCCGTGATATATGCGACGATCGAAATTAAATGTCACTGTCAAAAATCAAAATTGTCGTTTCCTTTAAGGCATCAGAGGCTACTTTCCAGATAAAACAGACTGATAACTTGTACCAAATTGTGTTACTGGCCTTATTTAAATTGTAGGTATCTAGTAGAATCTACACGTGGTACATGAATTGGTTACACCGTCGTCAGTTGTTTAAGTAATATATGTACGTTGCGTTACACTCAGTAACATTTTGCAACAATAATTTTCATCAAACTCAAAAATTTTCATTTCATAAAAAAAATAAAAATATTTAAAATCGTCTCTTGTGTAGACTAAAGATAAAGATTATCCACAGTCTTTACTAGTCCACTGCTGGACATAGGCCTCTCCTTAGAAAGGAGGTTTTGGTCTACTATATCACGCTGGCCAGACGGGTTGGTATGGGGTTTGTTTCAAGTTTTCCTTCTCTTTGCAGTGCTGTTGTCCTGCGTAGTTTGCTCACTTAGTCGGCTCTTACGACACCACACGGAGGGAACACATAATAGCAACAATCTCTGTTTTGTCAAATATTTAGCAAACTAAATATATAGGAATCGAAAATCTCTGAAATGTCTGTGCCGATCTACAACCGCCCATTTCCAAGGGTTTGAGCCTCATGAGAAGAAAGGTTAAACAAACTCACGGCCACTCTTTTTAATCAACAGATAACAATGGCATCAATATTATCTGTTGATTGAGAAGGGCAACATTACATGTGTGTGCACGTACCGCCCATAAGTATTGCTTTAGGATTTAAATTAAAAGTTGCTGTTGATCATTTGTAGTTTGCCTAGACCACGCTGATTACCTCTTATGTTGATGGGACAAACAATTTGTTCAAAGTTTGTGGCATTGAATAATAATAGTAAAAATAACTGAAAAGGGAAATGTTAATTTGATTTAGCCTGCTGCTTGCCGACATTATCTTATTTGTTCTTACGTGAATCACTACCTTTTGACCTACTCGTACGCATATCGAGTACCTAAATAATTATTGTACAAATCGTTACATTTGTATCGTCTTGTAGTGTGAACGCATCATTTTTGATAAGAACTTGTGTGACGTCAGGGAACTTGTCGATTCAGTTTGTGTCGGTGTTTTATCATTTGTACTAGTTTGTTTACTAGTTATTAATGTTGTTCAACTTGGTGTTGTTAGTTAGTGATTATGGAACTTGAGACATGGCCGAGGCGAGAGAATTACGAGAGCCTCGACGGAGGTAAGGCAATTCACGGTATTTTATTATGTTTTGTGTGTATTAAACCTTAAAATGAGGACTTTGATTTATACAAAGAATGTGTCATCTAGGTTGCTGAATTTGTAAACATATAGGTAATAAATTTACATAAATAAAGCTTTTTGACTGGAATTATATCATGGTTATTGAAGAACATAATTTTAAGTAATTGACATTTTACTTGTAAGTGATAATAATTAAATTAACAATTTTTGTAAGTTGTATTCAGATTAGCATATTTACGGTTACCTACATGTTTATTACGGAAACTCCCGATTTAGGTCATTTCAACATGTATCAGGTTGCATGTACCCATTATAAACCTGTTTAATAAATAGGCAAACACGAAATCCTCGTCCCGGTCTTTCGCGCGCTACAATCACCAGAAATATATCAGATATGATGCTGGCCCTAGAACTGAATCCGATTAAATCACCTTTATCCTGCAGAAGACGTGTAGGGTGGAGATGTTTTTCCAGAGATCGCAATTTTTATTTTCTCCTGACTTTAGAGTCGTTAATATTCATTGTCAATTTGTCATAGACTAAGTGAAGTAATCACTCCATATATATTTGTGTAAGTTCTTATTGGCACAGATAGCTAGCAGCATCGCATCACGATTGTCGATGTCCCCTGAGTCGGGTCGTGTGGTGTAAGTAAATGTCAATTGGTTCTGATACAGAGCGAACAAATTCAGTTCTGAAATGCACGTCGTATATCCTGACACGCTCCCAAGACTCCCAGAGCAGTAAAGATTACACAAATACGTACGCGAGAACTGGTATCTAACCACAACCTTCTGTTGCTTGAATGTCCTGCACAAATCAAAATATTTTATATACAAATAAAAGGTTTATCTGTGTGGTGATAGATTAAGGATACTGCATGTCAGCACATTCATCCCGCAGGTGTCGTAAGAGCTGACTAAGGGAGCAAACTACGCATGAAACTGAACAGGACTGCAAAGAGAGGGAAATCTTTAAATAAAGCCTATACCAACCCGTCTGGCCAGAGTGGTATAGTAGGCCAAAATCTTCTTTCTAAGGAGAGACCTGTGTCCACCCAGTGGACTACTGAAGTTGATAATTATATAGGGGTTCAAAGAGTTCGAAGGGAACTGTCGCACGTCGTGTGAGAATTTTATAAATAAGTGATTAGCAAACAAAGGAACTACATGTTACATGTACTGTGTAAAAAAGCTTCGTTGCAAATACTAAAAGTGTTAACAAGTAATTAGAGATCAAATACTTGTTAGAAGAAAATCCCAACTTTATATCCTACAGGACTACAGCATCAGGACCTTTATTATTATTTTCAGGTCTGTTGATATCAGTCCGATATTCTTTATTGATTTGATTTCCACTCTTAGGGTGGTATTTAGTCTTTTCGGAAAAAAAATTCTAAATCGGTTCAGAAATGACGGAGTTCTGACGGTGAAGCAACGTTCTTCAACTTCTTCGCACAGTTCTTCCAATAAACATATTCAATTTTGTCGTTTTCTGTTTTAATTTCGCCACGCCGCTTCCTACTACGCCGAGTGTTGTAGGTTCAAACCCCACATGGGACGACACTTTGTGTGATTAAAAAAATGGTTTTGTCTCAGCCGAAAGTGTCAACAAATCTCATGACTTATTCTGCAAGTTGTGATATATTGTACATTATATTGAAAAATGCGTTGGAACTTCACTGTGAAACACGCTACCCATTTGAATACCCAAAACAATTGTTGGTCTGATTTTCAGGGACACATTTTTACTAATAATGGTGTCTATCAATATCTCAGACCTACCCCATAGAACTTCCTTTAAAACGCTAAAACATTAATATGTAGTAGGTACCTACAATATTTTCTAAAACGGTAGTGCACTGATAAAGCGAGTACCTTATTTATCTAAAGCCATATCTATACATATCTTATACTAATACAGATAATAAAAAATCTTACATTCCAATTTATGTTATTATTATTTATCTTTATTTATTTTAATAACATTTACGAAAATAAGTTTAAATGACGACTCTCTAAGCCAAATACTTAAAGTCAATCTACCTAGCACGGCAATCCCC